CCTCCTCCTCCTCCTCCTCCTTCTCTACTTCTTTCTCCTTCTCTTCCTGTTCCTCCTCCCGTTCCTCCTCCCCTTCTCTCTCACATACAGAAACATACACTTGTTTCCTTTTCTTTTATGTCTCTTTTTTTCTCAAGAATCACTCCTGACACAACCAAAAATGGTCTGTCCTACATATAGGACTCGCATTACTGTTGTATCATTTATTAATTTACTCAATCTTTCATCATTAACAATGAAATCAGTCATACTTTTAGATTTATAGTCATTCCTTTGCCATAAGACTAGCCTTATGCTTAAACAACATATTCAAAACAGACTTTTTTCTAACCAATTACCACTGTCATTCATTTGTGGATCTATAGATAACTTTTTCCATAGTTTTATCATCTCATTCCAACTGATCCATTCATGTCACTTAGCAGAATAATTCTCTTAGATCACATTCATTCAAAATGTATATGATTCTTCTCAAAACTCAACTCAATTCTAAAGGAAAAACTAACTCATTCCACAAATACTTATCAGGTTGTGACAAAGGAAGTACCACCTGCACAATTTAATTTGGATGAGAATATTAAATAATCAAATACAAAAAGTCTCCAAGAAAAAGCATTTGCTCACAACTAGTGGTTCTAGAGGGACAGAGAGGCACTACCCATGAAGAAGCGGGTATTCCTGGACCACGGCTACTGCTAGATGTGGAGGTAGAGGCCATACCAGGGGGTCTTTGTACAGCTGCAGTTGGTGTACCAATTGTAGTCCTACCTGGAACGTGACCACCTTGCAACAGCAACTCGTGTTTTCAAGATTGCATTATTAGACCATTACAGTGTGCTCTACATGGGTCTCCCATTTGGGAGGTTTAATTTGGTACAGAATATGACAGTTCAGCTGCTGGCAGGTGTCAGTGACCAGGAATACATTACACCTGCACTTAAGCCCATGTTTCCAAGTACAATTCAAAGAATTTGCTTCAACTTATAATGCTCTTTATTGCTTGGCACCAAGATACTTCCAGAACTGCAGACTCCAATTAAAAGCAAACCATTCAATATTTTAACTGAGAAACAGCTCATGAGTATCTCACATTTTTGAGGGACTGGAAAGGCTGAAGCCAGAAGACCCTCTTTCTCTGCAATGGCTTCAATTTGAATGTCAGTCTTGTGTAGTGGACTTCTAGAAAGCATTAAAAACTTAAGGCCATCTTGCAAGTGTTGGTGATCCCTAATTGTGTAGTTTTCTCTTATGTTATTATGTGCCATGGATATAGTGAGACTGATTATAAGAAGTTATAACGGGGTTGGTGTTTGGTTAGTTCTTACTGTGGATGTTTTAATGTTGTGGAATTGTTACCTTGGATGTTTTATTGTTTATATATTTACATTAAACTATGGACATTTTAATCTTGTTGTAAGCTTCTCTGAGTCTGTACGGAGTTAGATGTACATAATTAAAGTAGGTTGGCCCATAAAATAGGAGGGTTAGAAACCTAACTTTATTTATTCTTAGATAGGCAGTCCACTAGAAAATAACACTGGTTATTAAAGATGGCAGTGTACTAATATTCCATGTATTTGAACTATCATTATAACTTTCTAAATCTATCTCAGGGACATATATATTGATAAACAACTAGCTTCTCCAAATAAGGAATGTCCCCAACCTCCAGGCATTCAAGAAGGCTTTAAAGATCTTTTTAACACTATGAGCATAGGGATACTGATGTTACTTCGGCTGCCTTAGTTAGTTTGATTTGCTGATCATTTTAATAATGAATAAATTATTAAAATAATGAATCATTTTAATGTTTTCCCTTGCATTATAAATCACTTCAAGTTGATCTGGAAGTGGTCAGTCTGTAAATAATTGTATTTATTAATTGATAAAAATAGATATAGTTGAGATTCGGGAGAGATTATGGTATTAACAATGATAGTTTCCATTAAAAAAATATGACAGACGTGAGATGTGAACAACTAACAAAATACCAGACTAGACCTTTATGGACCTTTTGTGTAAAAAAGAAAAAAATGAACTTGTGATTTATGGTTCTGATGATTACACAGAATAGACGGTAGAAAGAAGAGAGTCATGATGTAACCTTAGAGAGAGAAGTTAGAATATAATTGTACTTATAGCTGCTGTGAAAAGATTGGAAGCTACCTCTTCATATCTTTTTTTTAT